CCCCAAAACCCCAAAACCCCAAAACCCCAAAACCCCTCCTTACGAAAACCAGATTGAAGCAAAATATAAAAAAACAGGAATATTCTGCTAAATTTTTTACTTCTCACTCATAAAAGCATAAAAATCGCTCAAGATGACAACTATAATTTTATGTTGAAACTGTCCAAAACATCTTTATTCAAAGAAGAGGTACTTCGGTTGGCCGTCAGAATCAGATCATACTTGTATTATTTCTTAAGTACTCACTCAGGACTAAATGAATAAACTAGAGCACGGCTGCCCAGATTCTAATAATAATGAATGGTCCTTAAATCTAGTATTCCTTTAATAACTTTTGAGTTAATTATAGCGACTTGGTGTCAGAATTTTATAATAAGAAATATATTTTGAGACAATCTGTAATTTTTAGAAAAAATTGATATTTCATAAAAATCTAAACATTTACAAAATTTGCTATCTCAGCTAGAGTTTACTTCTTCTTTTTGTCATCTAAGAGCCCTGCCTCTTTCTTGATCAAGTACTCTAGATTGGCGTTATTAGCTTCTAGCATTTTCCCTTCGTCAATGAGCTTTAATCATTTTTCACGAGGGAAATTCACTGTAGGTGGGATATTAAGGATAAATTGTTCTTCTCAACAAGCGCTGAATGAATGTCTGCTCATTGGTGGAAACCAATCTTTTCCTTCTCTTCTTTCAAGCTCATCAAAGAAGGAAGGTACTTTATCGAAAAGATCCCTATCTTTCCTCTCTTCAACAACAGTTGTGTAAACTATATGTATTTAAAATTAAGTACTTACAAAGCTGAGATTGCTTAGGGACTTCTATTGTATTGACTTCACTATCTGAAATCTTTTCTTCTTCATTTCTGACTTTAATCTTTTGGTTAGGAGCTGCAACCTTCGGGCTTTCCATATCTAGCTGCTCAACAGTCATTTCCAATTCAGAGTCTTCCCTACTCTGAAGTCTAGAAGTGCTAGCTTTGCTCTCAACATCCTGTAAAGTATCATTCTGCTTTAAATTCTGAGCAAATTCCTTTAGATTAACCATGCTTCGTCTCCTTTTAACTTCATCACTGTATTCCTCACCTTGCTTTCTGACTGTTTGCTCCTTTTTAATAGCAATTGACATTCTGGATCCAAGGTCGTCTCCTTCAATGTCATGAGCAAATACGTTGTGGATAGCCATATACCTAAAAATTATACAAAGGTATTACTTCTGAACATGGAGTGGAATGTTGCTGACCAACTCGTTTTCAAACTCATCAAACTTTCCATCCTTTTTATACTGCTCAAAGTCGATAATTTCGAGATATTTTCTCTCACAAGCAGCAAAACTCTGGGCTCATTCCTTAATTAAGACTGCAGGGTCATTAGTGTCTTCGGTCTGCATGTTTCTAACCTTGATCATGATCACTGTGAGAGGTAGATCACTGATCTCCTTAAGTCTATTAAGGGTATCCTCGAAATCGTCAATGACACCTACAGATACGTAGATAAGGACAAAATAGTTTCTTGCCTCATAATTTTCAGCTTCATATCTGGCGTATCCAGAAGCAGTCTCTAAGACATCATGGTAATTGACGGGCAATGAGAGCTCTATCCTTTTCAGGGTATCTGCATAATTCTGAAACAGCTTATCCTTCTCGATCTGAGGGTTAAAGATATCACCGGAAAGTGCAAATAAGTTACTAGTATCACCCTTCTTAGGAATTGTCCTGGCTCCCATACCAAATGCAAGCATATGAGAGCTAATGTTTTGATAGGCATTCGTGATATGCTGAATTACATTTATGTAATCATTACTAGCTCCTTCCTTAAGAGAATGAATACATTTTTGGTTATCAAATGTAAGATTTGATAACGAGTAATCTATCGCAATGATCGGAATCACGTTTACTTCCCTATGTACTTTATAATCTAGAAAAGAAAAACATGGTTGAATGAGAGCTTCACTAATGGTGATGTGGGCCACTGTTTTATTACTAGGATTCTTCATGTTCAGTTTCATAGTCTCTCCCTCAAGCATAGAGATAATGTCCTTTACTCTCACGGTTTCTGATGCGAAAGCTTTGACTTTTTCTCCTTTCTTATCATAAGTCACCTCCTTTGCAACGATTTCAATCACTTTTGATGCAATCTTTTCACCTTCAAAAACATCTGTGTTAATTTCTATAACTTCAAACTGCCTGAGATCTTTGGCACTTGGACCAGCTACAGGCTTGCTTTCATAGATAAACTTTTTCTCGCTGTCTGTTAGTTCATAGATTGTTAGCATTACTCTATTCTTCTTGTTAAATCTTCCTTTCACTGAGAATCTGATCTTCTTCAAGTTATCTGGCTTGACTTCCTTCAGTCAAACAGTCACAGGGGATTGAAGGTTCGCAAGAGGGTCTCCTTTTGTTTCTTCATTTAAGATAGCAGCTGTTAGCTCCTTATCATTCAGATGTGGAGGTGCCCCAAAATCTCCATTGAGCATTAAGAGTTCATGAATGTCAAAATAAGCTTGAAGGTTGATTATAACCATATTCCCTTCAGACTCTGTTAAAAAGTTGCCATGCTTAGGACTCATAGCAGAAGGTTTCTCCTTCTTGGTCTTATTTGGCTTGAACTCTATGACTACATTCATATTCTGATTTTCAGCATTAAGCTGGTACTCTAGATTAAATGGCTGCAATGTAACATATTCAAGATTTGTTGCATTTTCCGCCCAAATAAATTGCTGTTTTCCATATTTTATCCTATAACTAACACTGTAGTTCTTCATTTTCTTCTGAAGGGCTTCCGGAAGACATGTCTTAATTTTACCTTCTACACATATCTTCCGGTTAGCTTTGGCCAAAAAAGCTTGCCCTCTAAGATTCTTCTCTCAAGTGCTCCTAACCATAGGTTCGTTAGACTGTTGTGAGGTGGTACATGCACTTCCCATTACTATTAATTAACAAAAATTTATTACTCATCCCAATTATCCTCTCCAATAAAGGGGTTTTGGGGTTTTGGGGTTTTGGGG